CGGCATCAAGCTAATCGGCCTGTAGTTGCCAGGGTCTGCACGGTCGTTCTTCTTGAACAGCAACACAACCTCACTGGTACGTTGGCATTTCAATAATGTGCCTCGGTTCAACTGATAGTTGAAAACGATAGCCAGGATTTCACCAAACACCGCCGGTGCCACCTGGTAGAAGCAGGCAGAATACCCGTCGGGACCTGGTGTGCGGTGTGGGGTCATGGTTTCGATGCTGGTCTGAAGGTCTGTCCCGGTAACGTCCTCCTCAAGGGCATTCTTATCCTCGACTGTTAATTTTCTCCGTAGGACACGAAGGAAACGACGGCGGGTGGCTCGATTTGGAGGAGTGGGGCCATCCTCACGCATAACACCCGTCCAGTGGGCGACGAATTCTTTTTGGATGATGTCCGGGGCTGACGACAACGTCCCATCGCGTTGTCTCACTGATCTTACGGGAGTTTTGTAGAGAACTTTGGTCGGTGGACGGAAGAAATGGGTCGTGGAGCGCTCATTCTTGCTCGCGTGGACGTCAAAGTTAAGGTCAGAGTAGTATAATTTCCACAAGTCCTCCGATTCGAGGAAAATTTTCTCCTCCTCCTCGATATCTTGGAGATTTGACAACCCCTCGCTGTGTAGGCGCCGCGCTTCCGCCAAGCGTACGGCGGAGGCTGTCTTTTCTCGTGAAAAATGCGATTTGACGTGGCGGTGGGCTTCTTGGAGGAACCTCCGTGTACGTTTCTTCCAAGCATGCCACACAACGCCTGGGTTTTGTGCGTCGCGGAGGACGACGAGGAGTCTTGAAGCCTCCGTCGCGATGGCCTCTCGCACCTGAGGGTACTGTAGGAGTTCCTTCGGCAGTTTCCAATATCCTTTCCCCATCGTTTGATGTGTGTCCTCTAGCACGAGTGTGTGGATCGCATGTCGCCAGCTACGTGTGCGTCCGGCCGTTTGTAGTCGCTAGAGACGTAGCAGTCTCTGACAAGGTGTGTATCGGCAAGGATATAGTCTAAGCGGGTCGTTTTGTGTGGCCCCGAATACATACGATCCTTATCGTGATGCATGTGCCAAGCGTCGGTCACACGTAGGGCCGCAAGCCACTCCAAACAGTTGATTCGGCCCACGGTATGTACGTGGTGCGGTTTGTCCGCGTTAAGGTACAGGTCCAATGGTAGGATGAGATCTCCCATGACTACGTGTATGCTGTCCTCTGGAAAGTCGCGTGGCAGACTGTCGTAAAATGCGACCCGTTCTGTTGGTTGAACAGGTGCATATACGCAGTGGAAGTATACAGGGGTCTCCTGCCAATGGGTATTGACCACCATGTATTTGTAGGGGACGTCGAGCTCGGTCAGATACCGGAGGTCCCGGAAGCCTGGGACTGTGTCGTCAAAGACCAGGGCGACGCCACCGCTACGATGCGCTGTGTCCTCATTTAGCGCGGGGACATACTCGGGGTTGGCACGGGGGTCGTTCACAGCAATGGGTATTGACCACCACGTATTTGTAGGCGACGTCGAGCTCGGTCAGATGCCGGAGGTCCCGGAAGCCTGGGACTGTGTCGTCAAAGACCAGGGCGACGCCACCGCTACGATGCGCTGTGTCCTCATTTAGCGCGGGGACATACTCGGGGTTGGCACGGGGGTCGTTCACAGCAATGAAGCATTTCCCGTGCCCGAGAGCGTGTTGAATGTGGTAGGTGAAAGTGGACAGGTGATGACTTTCTTTCAGTTTCGTCTCTTGTAACGCGACAATGTTTGCCTTGCGCATGATGCGCTCGACAAAAGTATGGCCGTTGTCGACGGGGGTGATGCCGTTGATATTACAGGTGAGCAGTTTGATAGATGGAATAGGCTGGTTGTGATGAGACTGTAGGCGGAACTTAGTACCGACGCGCTGGCAGCGCGAGACCCAGTTGGACTAGTCGAAGGATACAGTCTGTTCCCGCCTTGACCACCGACAGTGTTTGATCCTCGTCGTAGACGTGATGCCATTCACGCATGGCGATCAGCTGCATCACGAATCCATGGTTGGGTAAGTACTCTACCAACCGTCCCAAAATACTACCCCCCAAGGCTGTGCGTAGGATGAGCAGCAAAGTGTTTGGAGTGAGGAGGCGGCCGCTACCAGATGGAAGCCAGATTACTGGTTGCCCGGTCAAGCACAGCAACCATGCATCCTTCTGGAAGAAGGTAGGCGCCATGATACTCAACCATAGTTCAAAGAGGGAGAGAGCATCCTCTACTAGGAACCGGGGAAGGGGCACGGGATCGCTTGCGTCATTTACAGCATCCGCGAGAAGTTCCTCGCGGCGGTGCTGCAATTGGCCAGACCCAAGCTTCGATTTCCCATAGAAGTGCTTGTAGGTATCCGAGAATGATTGCACCTTCCGCCCCGTGGAAGCTCCAAACCATCGCTGCCATGTAAATGCAATTGGATCACTGACTCCAGTTGTGTAGGGTGAGATTTTGCCATGACATGTAGTGCCACATTGGCTGATAGGTGCTTCTTTTGGACCTGGGTCCACACTCTGTATGGCCTTAAGAACGAGCTCAGATATGTCACTGAGGTTATCAGCGACCGCCTCTGCAAAGGTTCGATCCGTGTCCGCAAGTTCCTCAGCATGTAGTTGTTTGATTGACTCTTCCAGAATCGTTTGTAGTCGCTCTAGTGTCATCGATTCGACGTCGAATGACAGGGTGCTCTGGACTTGGTGCATTGTAGTGACACATTGGTTGCGAGTCACGTCAGATATCTCCTGCCGATGAAAAGTAGGAATCATTGTGACGATATCCTGGTCTTTCCTCCATTGGAGGGTGTCAAATCCTCCAGTGTGGGCGCGAAGGTCGTCAAAGAAATTCGGCGTCGCATATCCCGCCAGTGTTTTTGGCGGTGAGCGAGTCGGTTCCTTGCGTTTCCTGCGTCCCGACAACACTTGGTACGGTACGTCCACTTCCATGGACTGATTGTTGTCCATCAATGTGTCCTCAGTGTCCATGTCAGCCTCCGCATCATCCTCGAACACGCTTACGTATTCGCTAGTGACTGGTCCGATAGCGCCGGTGGAAGTTTCGGGTCGAATAGACTGCTGAAGCGTCGAATCGAATTGCCGTAGTTGAGGCCGAATTTCTGAGGTAATACTCTCGGTGGGCGCAACGTGTTCCTTTGGTTGTATAGGCTTGGTGCTCTTTTTGGCCATTTTTGACGTGGCCATAATGGCATTTCCAATTACCGACGATTTTGGGCCAGGGGTGTTGACAGTTTGATCGTCCGGTGTCCTCGTGTGGGCGCTTTACCTCGATGTCCACACAGTGCGACGAGACCCTGTTAACCCCGTGGAATGGAGTCCCTTTAGTTCCTTTCAAGTACACACGGTAGTAGAACCGCTGGTATTTAATTAGGTTGATTGGTTCTCCATTGATCCGTAATTGGTCAGGGATAGCCGCGTCCGAGAAATAGATACGCCATGCGTTCGTGTGGCACCCAGTCCCAGGAATGACAGCACGATGGCTGTGGTAGACTACATCGACGCCGAGCTGGGTCAGCTTGCGGTAGAATTGCGTTGCATCAAAGTTGTCGCGGACACCAATAATGTCCATGAAACATAGGGGGTCCAATGAGTGCTCCTCCTGCACAGGGATGAGGTACTTCTTGCCCATAATTGACAAGGTCTGTCCCCCAAGTGCTTTGCGGGCATTTGAAGTTGTCACTGAAACCATAATTCCACCACGTCCGAGTCGAATGACTTGGACGAACTCAGAAAGCAGCGATTTCACGGTGTCTGTTTGCGCACTAGCAAAGAGCGAGGACATAATGGCCTCGTGCGACTGGTTAGCAAGTGCATAACCAGAGGCTCAATATATAATTGATAACCTGTAACATTGGATGTTATGTATTATAACATGCTTTTTGGCGACATATCATACTCATGCTTAAGGATAATCGCAGCTTTCTGGTTCCGGAGGATGTGTCTGGGGATAGTTACTTCGGTGTCGTCGCCCTAGGGTCCAAGGAATTCCTGCTTCGAGTGGTAAACGTTCGTCCGCAACCTTCCACGGACGTGATGAGTTTGGCACGGGCTGGGTTGGAAACTGACGCCGAGCTTAGCGAGTTGCTGCGTCCGTACCTGGCGGTGGTGACTCGGCGGCTGCAGAAAAGTCTGTCGATTGACTCATTTCTCAAGGAATTACATGACTTACTGGAAGGAATCGTGCGGGGCCCATCTTATGCCTTTGTGGAGCCTCCCAAGCTCTCGTACTACGAGGCGTTGTTGCAGGACGTGGCCACCATTGGTTGGGACCGTGTCTTGGAGGTCAACACCGACGACCACGGGCACTGGAACGGGCTGCATGTTCAGTTGGTGGACTCGCATGGCCGGAAACACGCCGTGTCCTTCCGCATGGACGCCAGCTACCCGTCGTCCCCGCCCACCTGTGGCGTCGACGTGCCGGAGCCGATGCCGCCGCTGCAATGGTCGCCTCTCAAGCCGCCATCCCTTCAACATGCCATCGACCAGGTCTTTCATCTATTTCTTTTCTTCTCATTTAAATACTCAAACAACAACAAGCAGGTTCAAGCGCACTTGGAAACGTTCCAGGACTTTTGGGATGTGCTCGACGACATTGACAAAAAGTGCTGCGTGTTAGAACCGGACCGGCCCACCCGCGGCTGCAAACGGCGGCGACTGGCCCTCCGTCCGTCCGTGTCGATCCAATTCGACGTGCCCGACCCCGTCCTCCCCCGAGCGCTCGTGGACGTGGTCTGGTTTGGGAACGACGCGGCGGTCACTCCGCTGCGGGAAACCCTGTACGCAAACCTGTCGAAATGGAAGCCCGCCGACAAACTGCGCCGGAACCTCGAGCGCGTACTCGGCGTGCGCTTCCCGTCGCCCCGGACCGCCGCCAAGAACGAGTTTGCGCTGGAGTGCGGCATCTGCTACGCCCACCGCCTCGACGACCGGATTCCCGACCGCGTGTGCGACTCGGCCAACTGCGCGCGGTCGTTCCACGGGTCATGCCTGTTGGAGTGGCTGCAGGCCATCCCCACCTCGCGCAAGTCGTTTGGAACGGTCTTTGGGTCATGCCCGTACTGCCGCGAGCCCATTTCGGCCAAAGGTGTATGAGGTCTTTTGCTTGGAAAATAGGAACTATATGAAGGAATCCGTGACAGTCGATGTAGGAATGCCCTGGATGTCAAAATATATTTGGATTTGAAATTTGGAGTATTCATCAATATTTTGCTGCCAAATATCGCGCGTTTTTTTTCGCCAAAAAGTAGAAAAGACGTTGTCAAGGGGCTTAAAGTTGGCAAGAACTGAGAATGATAGATCTTCGTTCGAAATCAGGTTGATCCAGTCAG